TGAGATTTTTCACATAAAGCTTTAGTTGAGGGTAGAACCTCAATTTTCTTTATTTCACTTTTCGTCCTTAGCAAGTGTGACTCAGGACAGACTCTAAGTAGAGAAACCACATCTTCAGTTATGTAAAAAATGGTTGACAGTATCAAATGGAGCATAATGCAGGCATTAGTGATAGAAATCCAGCAATTCTTGCAAGTGAAGTTGCAGGATGCACCAGCATAGGTATATTGATCCATCTGTTTTTGGGTTTTTTTAACTTACTTGGGAATTCAGAGGAAATTTGGGCCGAAAGCCCAGTGCATAACTTCAGTCTACTGGGTGACCTGAGATCACTTTAAGCCCCAAGCACTTGCAAAGTGCACAGATCTCACTGCAGCTTGCAATGAACAGGGTTCCTGTGGCATCACTTAGCATCCTGTTCCTATTAGCCCAGATTTCAATCCCTGCCAGCACAGTTTGTAGCGGAAATTTCAAGACAGTGTGTTAGAGAATGAACTCCTAGTGGGTTTTTTGGTAACACACATATTTCCTCGGTCTTCATTGTCACCAAAGCTTAAAAGAGGTCCATAAACATAGGTAGATATTATCCTACCAAGGGCCTATTCCTTAGCTAAGCTCAGCTCTTCCAGTGCCACCTCAGCCTCAAAATATGTCAGCATTATAAGCTAGTAAGAGTTCATTAGTCTTTTCTTTTACCTCACAACGTCCCACTCAAGAAAACAGACGGAAGCTCTGAAACTTGAATTGTTTGAGTGTCTTAGGAATTCTGGAAGACTTCAGCAATACCAATACCCCAGCAATGGCTCACCTGTCTGTCACTACAGTCCTTGCAATTGGCAGCATTAAACTGTTGTAAACCACAAAGCTTTGGTCATTTGAAGGTCAGTTTACAGGAAGATGTTTAAGAACAACCCATTTCTGGCTTGATGGGATTTTACTGATTTGTATGTCCTTATTTGGGTTCAAGCATGTCCCTTACGCAACTGCTTAAAGGCTACCCCAGAAAGCATGGTGATACAGTGCTGGCACTCTGTTCCAATGTTGACATTCAGCATGAGGAAATGCTGTAGTTATTAAAACCTGCTGTATCCACTTGTAATCTGTGTGATCTTCTTAACAAAGCCAAGCTGCCTTCCTCAGATGCCAGGTTTGCCCTACTGTACATCTCACGTCACAAAATATGCTCTGAGGATTCAAAATGAAAGCTGGATTAATGTCAGCAGTTAGAACAGGTCTGGAGAGTCTGTGTCTTACCATCTGTTAGAATAAAAATCCTAGACAGAAATATGGTGTATAACAAATAAGAAAGAAATGTTGCTAAGTTGGTGGGCTGTGAGCACTTCAGTGTAGGCATCTGGAAAAGAACAGGGTCTTTCCCAACACATAACGAAAACAATTCAGAGTAATGTTACTTCATACTGCACTGTGAGCCACAGGATATGTCCTTACGAGTCCTAGCACCTCATACGAGAGGTGTGCACATCTGGTTGCAGTAACGAGAGGATGGCTTCCTGCTGTAGCTGTTCACATCCACACTCAGATAACCCAGATGCCAGAGAGCACCCGAATTAAATTCACCAGGGGTGGCATATTCTGATACACTCTGTGAAAAACATGAGACTCTTCAGAGTTACTCTCCACACTTGAAAAACTTATCGTATGACCTTTGTTTAAGCAATAGGACACACACAGTCCAAGTCAGTGTTTAGTATGAGGATCTGTGTTCAGGGACCAAAACAAAGTCAGTAGCCAAAAGCTAAGCTGAAGGTCAGGGGAAGGGCTAGCAACAACAGGCTTCAGTTGTCAGCCAGCCCAGGAGCAACTGCAAGTTCTGGCTGCTCTCTCCAGCCAGTAAACTGAGGTTGCTTTAGTGTGACCCAAAGCAGTTGCTTATTCAGTCATTCCTGCCTGGCCTCACTGGCAGGGAGGTCTGATCCAAACCTAGGATCCAGAAACATGCACTCCATTTTTATTTGAGAAAATAAACACAGCTAGAATTTCAAACTGTGGGTGTTAAATGCCCGTGAAGAGCTTGCACGGTACAGGTCATCCTCCCTTCTCATCTTGAAATACTCCACATGAAAATCTGGCAGACTATATCTAAGCAACAAACACATTTGTCCCACTGTGGGATCTATTTTGAGGCGATACTTAACCAAAGAAGGACTCGGCCTGAGGAAAACATTTTTTCCCAGTCACTTGTAACTTGCAGAAGCAATTTCCAAACATGCCTAGTGTTGAACAAAATCTGCTATTAAAGTGAATGTCTAAATTCATGGGCATCAACAGAAGCCAATTAAGACCAGACAGAAAACACATTTGAGAGTCTCTCCCACATAATTCCCTATGTTGGAAACAGCATGGGAAGATTAACATCCAATGAAGTTAATATGAAGAAATATAGAAAGTGATCATCCTTTCAGCTTCTTGCATTTGTGTAAATTTCTTCTTGCAAATGGTAATCCTGTCAAATGTCATGTCAGTTTTGTAATTTTATTTTTTTTTTTACATGACAGGAGACTTTAATGGCCATTACTAATATCTTTCGGTATGCAAAGCATGACCATGATACAATGCAGGAAAACTTCACTGTTCAGAGAGTAAAATGACTAAATGCAAGCCTCAAAAACCTTTTCCACTTGTGTATAGATTTGTATGAATGAATTTCTTTAGAAGAGACTTGCAGATTGTGGACAATATTATTATGTTCTGCATGAGTGAAAATTGAGTGATGATACCAATTACATCACAGTGAAACTTCTTTGGAAAGCTGAAGTAATTTGATTGACTTAAACTGGAAGCATTCCAGATTTGCCTTAATATATCTGAGAACAGAACTCAGTATCTATCTTTTCTTTAATCAGGGAAGTAGCTCTCTCTCTTATAGGAAGTCTCAGTGAAGCAGATGAAATATCTATTTGTTGTGTGTGGCACAAGTGATTTGTTAGGTTTGCACAAATTACAGATGCCAATGAGTTTTGTCATGTACCAAAACACAAGTTTTAGTAAACATTTCAAGAGTTTTTGCACTTCTGATATGATATTTTGATGTGCTGACCAAATAAATATCACAACTTTTATAAAAATTGCAATTCACAGGAAATTGAAAAATAAATTTGTTGCAATTCTAAATTAATATAAGTAACACAACTTCTACATTTATTATAAAGCATAAATACTCACTTTTTATCAGCTTTATTCATTAAAGCAAGAATGGATTAATTTAGAGTAGGCGATCCCAAGTTTTCCAGAAGGTTGTGTGTGGATTTACTTGTAGCACTAGAAATCCCCAGTAGTATGGAACTGAAAATAACAATACAAAATTTAGCTTCTTCAGAAAAGGTATAGTTAGAATGTTATATGTCTTCAGGGCAGTTATGTGAACAACAATTTTGACCACAAAGACATTCATTCTTTGCTTTCTTTCCCTGCACTCGTTACTTCACTGCACCTTCTCACATCCCACTCTGAGGCTCCTGACTCTTTCAGGTAGGCCAGGGAAAGCTGCTTGTGGGTCCACACTATAAATCAAGCTACTGTGAAGTTATCCCAATTTAAAAAAAAATAAAAATTGATAATTGCTTAACAAGGAAAGAAAACCCCAAAATTCCCACAGACATGTAGCTGCTTTCATAGAATTGTAGAATATTCTGAGCTAATCTCAGGGTTTCTCTTTCAAAAATGCTTTTTAAAGAAGACACTGTAAATTCTAGCTAAAGTTCCAAATTTCCCTTTCTCTATAATTTTATTTTATTTTATAGTTTCTTTTTTTCTCTTTCCTTTTTGATAGACCAGATCAAGAGGTTAAGCAGGCCCTCATACATATGCTGAGACTGAAACACAGTCATATGGTAAGAACATGGGATTCCTGGTTCCTTTGCTGCAGAATATGACAACTTTGTAATAAAAAAGAGGTTCACAAAGAAGGGACAAGCTCACAGGAAAGGAAGCCAAGTGCTCTCCCAGATGACCTTAATTCCATCACAGCACACTTTTCTGTATGGCGATTGGCAAAACTTATCCATATTGTAATTAATTTCAACAAAGATGGCATATTAGCTTGTAAGATACACATTGTTTGGGACTTCTCATAGGTATGGAGTCCAAACACAAACATACAGAAGATGGAAATCTAAGACTTTCATATATCATCTTTCCATATTTTGTCTGTTTTTTTGGGAAGTATAGTGAGATTTTACTTCCTGGAAGGTTTTTTTCCATGTCTGTAGTATGGAAGTATTCAGAAAACCACAGTCTAGCTAACAAATATGTTATTTCCAGTGTATTCTCTGTTGTTTGGCTACTAAACCTGCCATAACAAATTTAATTCTGTTGAGTAGTGCAACCCTAGTTCTCTCCAACAAACACGATTCCATTCAGCACAGGCAGGCTTCACAGTCTCCTTTTGATGATTTTCTAGGCAATTTGCTAAGGTACTGTATTATTCAGAGCAATGGAAAAACTCTTGCTTTTTCATTTAATTGTCAATACATTTTTCACCATCCAAATATAAACATGAGATTTATTTATACTTTGTGTTAATACAATTAAATTTGTTAGTCTCTACTTTCTTGACTTATTTGCATAAAGTATCGTTCTTTAGTTCTCCCTTCCTGCTAGAAACCAGTCTGTTATACAGCAAAAATCTTCCCTGGCTTTCTGTTACATGCGAGAGATGATTTTGGTTGTTTTCTTGCTGATTTTTCTGGTAAAAAATATTTTTTCTGTCTCATGCTATTTTGCTGTTAGTATCTTTAAAGTTGTCTTTCAGAATACCCAGTCTGTAAGCATTTATGGGGAAGAGACAGTTGCTTTCCTGAATTTTTTCTTTGCTGTTTTAAACCCATGCAACTGATTGCTTATTCTTAGAATATGGAAAAAGTTGATGAAAAGGAATTTCCCCAGTGCAGTGAATTTTTTCTTGTTTCATCAGACTTGCAGCACAGCCAAATTGATATAAATTCATTTGAGGCCATGAATGACATATTGCTAATTTGTACGGTGATAATCTAATGCATTTTAGTTTAATTGTTTTGTAACATATGGAAGGTCGGTACGTATGTGTAATTTTGATCAATTTGTGTGTCTCATGTTAAATACCTAAGGAAGAGGGATTCAGGAATAAATTTAGAGACATCAAAAACTGTAGCCTTTAAGTTTTTTGTCTTGGTAAACATAGGTGAAGGCTGATGGCCTTACAAGATTCTTTTCTGCACAATAGTATTTCTTCTGTGTCAGCATAAACAAGTCTCTGCTTTGCTTTACGGTTGGTAAATTCAATCCTTATCTAAAGGCTTTTTAGGAGGCTTCTATGTCTGAAAAAACCCAGACAATAATGATAATTTATATAAAATGGAAAACTAAAAGGAAAAACTCCTAACACTTTAATAGAAAGATTATTAATGAATTCATTTAATCTGTTATTCATATTGCTGTGCACATGGTTTTAATCAAATCTGTTTTTTTCCTTACCATTTCACACATAGATGAAAAAAAAAAGGCTCTAACTTGACTTTTGTAGGACAGAACTAGTATTTTCTGAAGTTAGCTTTGTTCTTTTCGGATATTGTTTTCCATTCTGTCAATAAAGAAAGAAACCTCAATAGACTTGAACACTACTTTGCAATCTATCTGCTGTGGTCTGTGCCAGCATACTAACTTGTCTGCTTTTTTAAGGAGCATAGGTTCACTAACAGCAATTATAACCACATGAGAACATTCAAGACAGGCAAAAAAGAAAATGAATTAAAAATGAAAGAACCTGGAAAAGTGTCTGGCACAAAAATCAATGGGAAGAGCAACTAGTGTTTTGTAGGAATGAAACTACGCAAATATTATTCACATCACTTAGTGATGGAAGGAGAGTAAGAGGCGTTGCTATACAGATGATGTGGAAAGGAGTCCCGCCAAATGGCAGTTCCTGGATGAAGCCAACAGCAAACACGATTGTGTGGTGTTGTGCTGTGCTCAGACAGTTTGTCACCATTATTACACGTATATTTTTTGTTCTCTTTAATTACAAATCAGGATGACTCAGCACACCTAACCTTTTTGGTTTGCTTTAGGCATTTGCTACTTCTTGGGAGGTGAGTTTGACCATTTGTCCGAGGCTACCCAGGTGGCATGGGTGGAAGCAGAAACCTGGACACAGATGAGGAAACGTGGTGCGGAAACATAGGCCTGCCCTCCTTTTTAAGATTGATGGTGGTCTACGCAACAGCTGGGGCCTTCCAAAGAGGGAAGCTTAAGCATTTCCAGTATCTGGGGATGGACTGGAAATACTCCAGTGCCTGCTGCAATTGTAAAAAGGGAAACACTATGTGAAAGATATGTGTCCTAAGAAAATCAGAAAGCCCAGAAAGCCCAAGTAACTTATGCTTCAAATGATCCTGGGATCCACAGGCTGGACATTGCTTTGCCTTCCTCACCCAAGGGTGAGAAAATGCCTACACAAATCAGGTCTCTGCAAGGCAGTGTCTTTAGTCATTCCCCCTCACGACAACTGGAAGAAGTAACAGTCCTTTCTCACCCTCTCCAGAGAATGTGCCGTTTGTGACAGCATTCAAGAAGTCTGAGCATTATTCTCTCCTGCCCATGAGAAGGTTCTAACTTTCTGCCAAGAGAAAGGCTCTAAACCACAGAGGAGAACTCACACTTGTTCCTGCTTACCCTGCTCATGAATATTTCATTCCTAAACCAAAAAGTTAAAATGTTGCCAGGGAAATGATATGTTGCATTCCCCTCATTAGTTCCTCCCCAAAAAAATGAATTGCAGGAACATGGGAGATATGGCATCACCTTTTTTCAGCCAGGGAAAGGAACGAGACCCAGACGGACACCTGTGCCACAGTGGTGCTGGGAAGGGAGTCTGGCATGGAGAGAGAAGGAACATTTAAAGTATTCTCCTGCTTTCCACATTTCATAGTAGTTGCAATGTGCACATCCGTGTGGAACAAACTGGCTTCTCCGAATTCCCTACAGATCTCCCTTATTCCCTTTGTAGTTATAGACCAGTGGAGCCTGGGAGCTTCACTTCAGGCTGTTAGCTGTGAGTAGAAGGAGCTGTCAGCATAAAAAAAAGGTGACAGGCAGCATACAGACCAAATAGATTTGGAGATCCAATCATTTATTTTATTAAGGTTTAGTTACAGATCTGTAAGATAACTATTTTTTTAATTCTCGGACTGATCAGTGGAAATATCTCTTGTTAAAGACAGTGAGAAACAGAAAGGAAGCCTTACGTTTATGGAAATACTTATGCTTGTGCAGATCTTTTTCTAAATGGAATTGTGCTTGCAGTACTAGTAAGACAACAATAGCTTTTATGGCAGCTGGAAATTCATCAAATAGCACTTAGGACTTTTAGAATAAGTAAAAGTTCTCCTTAGACACTACAGATAAAAGCCTAGCTCCTGGAATTCAGTGGGAGTTTCATCATCCATTTTAGTGGAGTCTGTATTTCAACACACAAGTATGAAGTCATAGAAATCAGAGATGGAAAAAGCTGCTTAATCATTCAGAGCAGACCCAAGACCTTTCTTTGTTCCTTTTTATTTTTATCCTTAAGGACTTCTTTGGTGTCTGACAAGCTTTTGCAGGCTCTTTTTTTTCTGAGGTATTCCTTCTTTCCTAAACATCTCAGACCTCTGTTTTTTCTGGGCAACTGAAGAGTAGGGCAAGCAGTTTTGAACTCTTGATGTTTCTGACTGATGAGTTCATCCCCCTTCTCCCTTCTATATCTTGCCAGCACCCACACCATCTCATGTTTCCAGAAGGATGAGAAAGAGTTTCTGTACCCTCACTTCACCTTTAGGATGGTTTCTAGTCACAATGCACACGGGAAAACCCCTGCCAACTGACAACACACAGCAGCCTCCAGTAACCCAGGTTTGCCCACTGTGACTTTAATCTGTCCTGTGCCAGTTCAGCATCACACTCTACAATGGAGTTTCTCTATCTTTCGTAGGCTTGCCACACCTAATTTTTCACATGGTGTAAAATAAACTCTGTTAAGGCGTACCCTAACCTTAGCAATCAGGGTGCATAAGGAAAAGGAAAACCAAAACGCTGTTTCCAAGTGGGAAGAGGATGACGCCTACTCATAAAACGTTGTTTGAAAGCTTAGCAGATTTGGTCTGCATAATTCAAACTAATATCTACAGTCAGTGAGGTTTCCTAAAAGGGGTGGATAAATTAGAGAGCGAGCAGGCATGAGAGTCTGGATATTTTTATTCATACCCTGGCAAATTTGTGGAAAGCAGTAATCTGATGGAGCATCACAGGAGATCTTGTGAAGAGAGTTGAGCAGGTGCACTAGTAAGGTTAAAGAAGGTGGAGAAAAGTGTCAAATAGCTAAAGTTATTAAAGTAGCTAAAGCATCAGATTACATGCAGAGGTATTTTCAGGAGTGTCAGTAGACCTCACTCATTTTGATCACAACCAAATTTGGCAATCTGTGAGTGCATTGTGACTATCTGCCGTGTAATGCCTTTGAAGGTCAGGCTTGAAGACACTGAAGGAAATGCCTATAAGTAATGAACTGCTTGTCTTTTAACACCTGTTGAGACTTCACTGTTAGTAAGTTTTGGAAACTTTTTTTCTCTATACTTCTTCTGCTTAGTTTTATTTCTACCTCATCGTTTTTAGTCATATATCTTAGTACAGTCTTCTTGACCTCTGGTGATCTGTCACAGTATCTTCATAAGGTAGCGAAAGATAAGACAGATACAAGATGAATGGTGAAAAGGGGCTCTCAGGTGTGGGTGCAAGCACAGGAGGGGCAGTAGCTCCTACAGGGCCCCATGTCTTCACTACAATGCAGGTGGGATGCTGGTACCTCCTGGTCTCCTTCCTCCCACCAGAGATTGGGTCATCCCAGCAGTCTGCAGGGAAGCTCAGCCTTATTACCAGCACATCAAAAAAATTTGTTTTCTTTCTTTCTTCCTTCCGTTTCTTTTTTCTTTCTTTCTTTTTCTTTCTTTCTTTTTCTTTCTTTTTTTCTTTCTCTTTCTCTTTCTCTTTCTCTTTCTCTTTCCCTTTCCCTTTCCCTTTCCCTTTCCCTTTCCCTTTCTCTTTCTCTTTCTCTTTCTCTCTTTCTCTCTCTCTCTTTCTCTCTTGCTTTCTATTTAGGATGCTAAAGAACATGAAGGAGGGCTTGTGTAACGGCTTAACCAGGATGTATTAGTGTGTTAGCAGTTCTACTCTTTCCTCATATGATGTCCCTCTCGATTCCAGTTTTTAAATTTAGTTGTGTGTCATTTGCTCTGTGGGTTAGCATGCAAGGTGTGTGCAGTATCCACAGTGCAGATGTCTATATAGGGGCTAACTCCCAAGCTTCTCTTTACTGCAAATGTATGAAGAAAAATTGGGTGTGGTTAACAGATCTACTTTAAAACTCTACTTCTGGAAGACATGACCAGTGCCTTACAGGAGCCTCTTCTTCTTGCTCTCTTAAAGAAGAGTTAGATGATCAGCTCAGATGTACACATCTATGCTGCTGACACACACATGAGAAGCCCATCTATTAAGACATCTATATACTTGGACGACATTTTAATTTGGAGGTGCTGAAATCAAGTTCACAGCACTGAAGTGAGCTAAAAGCTAGAAATTGATATATGGGTTCTAGACATTCAAATGTGAAAATTGCACCTTTCAAGTTTGCAGTGAAGAAATGTATTAATCATTTCACCATATTCTAGTTCTTCTAAGACAAAATCCTATAATTTTATCCCTATAGGACTACATCCTATATCTACAGATCAAGACCTAAGGATCTGGTGATCTGGACATCTGTAAAATCTTAGATAGGGTCTAGAAGATGTAAACCATATGTTTGTCATGCTCATCAAATCCTGGAATGAGACTCATATGTAGATCTGTGTTTTATCCACTGCCATATGGGAGGGGCATATTGTACAAAATATAGATGAAGATACAGGTCTAGGTAGAGATGAAAAGTACCTGGTAAGAGCACTTTGCCTTGGAGAAGGAATGTATTAATAAACATGTCATTGTTCTTTATGATGGATATGTGCATTACATTTTGCATACACTTACCAAAGGCTCCGAACTACAGCACAGTGTCAATAATTTCACAGTTTTCCTCTCTTCTTATCAACAGTTGTGTTCTATGGAGCTTTATAGTTTAATGTGTGATTGTTGGAGAGGTAGATCACGTTCTCCAAAGTTTCCTGCATGTGAAAAAATGGCATAACACTTAATTTAAAATGCTACTTGTCAAAAATCGTATAGCAAATCACTCATGATCTCTCTCCTTTCCAATTAAAAACCTACCTTTAAGAAATGTGGCAATAAGTGGAGGCACATGCGCTGCTTGGCAGTCTGCCTAAAAATCCCTGCAGCCAATGCATAATGATTGCACTACAAAGCATCTGCCATCCAGAAATAGACTGTACTGTTTCCTAAACTTGCTGTTGTGTCTTTGTACACTACATAGTGGAGATGAATGTATTTTTTCTTCTGGTCACAGCGAGGAGCCAGATTTTAATTTAAATTAAAAATGTGATTAAACAAAATCCAATAATGCATAATGCTAGCAAAATATTAAAATACATCAACTATTCTGCTTCAGATTTTTCCATATGAATAAGTATTGTGCTGTAAAACTAGAACGGTTCTAACAGAAAGTTGTTTTCCAGTAGTCTCCTGTAAAAAAAAATCAGCATTAATTGAGATAAACACCTGACATTCCAAAACAAATATTTCAGGCAAGTTAATAAACACAGACAGTTGTCAGGGCAGATCAAGCCATTGCAAGCACTCCTCCACCACAACAGGAAAAGTATTTTCATTCTCTTCAGGGATAAATCAAAACCCAATTCTGTCTTTTTTCACAGGCAGAGGCATCAAGAAAAAGTGCTGAAGGGTCACAAGGAACAAAAATGCCTCTAGAAGGCTGGGTGGAAACGGTAGCTGGAACAGTTATGAACTGGAGAAAATGAAGAAAAGAACTGCTTTCCTGCTTTTTGTTTGTTTGTTATGAAGCCATGGTGCATCTCTGTTAGAAATGAATAGGCACCTGGTACCTTGATATGGTACAACTCTTTCACAAAACCAGATCCCCTTGTATTGTCTAACATTTACGGTACATGGACAGTGGCACTTCTTTTTCTCCTGTATGTTTCAGTGACTTGAGTCTCAGCCACAGAGATTTCTTCTGTCTGGTGAGCAAGGAAAATGAAAATGATTCTCAGTTCTTAGGACTTACAAAAGAATATGATGTTTTCAACTGAATGGGAATTTGGCAAGTTTACCTATGGCAGCTTATTCTAATCTATGCCTGGGTTTGGCAATCAAGTAGAATTTAGGAAGCAAAGATTGCATGTTAGTACTGGGGAGCATTAATAGAATTGCCAGCTCAACTCTTCCATATGCTAATTGGCTCAATTTGAAAACTTGTGGATTTAGGATATAAAACTGAACATAACACATGTAAAAACAAATGGCTGAACTAGGAATAAAGTTTTACAAATTTTGGAATTGGTGAATTCAGCTTTACTCCAGAAATCCTGAAGATAAAAAATTGATATGTATTCTGAGCAAGGCTTCACTTTTGTTTGTTTCTTAGTGCCTTAGTAAGTGTGTAAATTTTAGTCAGGTTATCACAATTTGAAAAGATGCCCAAAGGCAAAAACAATGATCTCTGCTGTGCTGTGATACTATTTAGGATGTGAATCTGCAATTGGTTACGTACTAGATGTATCTTCTTTTTAATTGACTGCACGAAGGTCAGAGTATATAAAATTATGCACAGCTGTAGAATTGGCTGGATCAAAGTCACAGACAAAGTAACCAGACAGCTCTGTAATAATGGATCCAAAAGTTCACTTGGATAGTCTATAACCATATTATCTTCTTCTTTTTTCTTCTCTTTTATAAACAAAAAAGGTTCACCTGATTTTTCAGGATTGGATGTCTAGCCCTCAAGAAATTATTCAATTTTTATAAGTCAATAAAGAGAGCTATATACTTCTTCATTTGTTATAAATATCAAAGAAACTGAAACAATAGTTGTAATTTTAATACAAGAAGTGAAATTTAGCCTCTGACATACAAGCTATTACTAAAATGAAAGAGCATGTAAAATGGTAGAACAGTGTATATTTTTCTGATTCTTTTCCTTATGAGGAAGGTTACTTATTGCAATTGTTTTCTCTTAACATCATTTTCTTATTATATATCAACCTTGGTTCAAGCATCTTGATACTATTGTCCCACATCAAACTAAATATTACTTGGCAACAGGCAAGGACAAACAGATAGGCTTACAATTTGCTTTTATAATTAGCTACTGTGTCAGCGTGAAAGCTAAGATACATGAACAAGGTACATGACCATGAACTGCCGTGCAAGACTACCTGCTAGGCTCATTTGCAGCACTGACCATCATAAACAAATAGGTAGCAGTGTGTAATCTCGGGCTGGGAAAGGGCAATTTCAGTGATTGAAATGCCTGATCACTGAAGACGTATCTAGAAATGCAAGTAGAGATGGACCACGACCTGTCATCAACAGAAAGCTAGAATGATCCCACCTAATGTCAGGTTCTCGGCAATGGCTTAAATTATGGGCAGAGACCTGCTAAATTTCTTTTTCTGTCACTGGAGAGAGAGAACACTGCCGGAGGCAGAGGTCTAAAGTTAGGGGGGATGACTGAAAGCACAACTGTTTCCAGGCACAGGGAAGGTGGCATGTATTGCCTTCACATCTTTCCACATATATTTCCATAGAAGGGTAGTTCACATAAGGCCTAACTGATCTGGGGCTACTATAATTCAGACTCCCCCTCCCTTCCCACCCACAATGAGTAGATGCTACTCTTGATATGAAAACTTCAGAGTTTATAGGTTACATGCAGACCATCTCCTTAAAGCACTTGCCTTTGTAGGTTGAAAATTATTCGAATGTTCTTCTTGCATTATAACATGGTAAAGGAATTGTCTGGACATAGAAGAGACATGACAGTGCTGGGTGCAGATATGGTGGGAGCAAATATGCTGATCATTGGCATGGCTGCTACCCTGGGAAACATCACTCAGGGTTCTAGTACAAGAGGAAGTTTAGGACCTCCTTAGGTCCCTACCAGCCCACTCAGGAAATTTGCCACTAAATAATGCATTAGCTTAAGTGTGTGAAGTGACACTAAGTTTTTAATTATGTCACATTCTGTTTGATAGGGAAATGTGCTGTTGTAGGCTACTTGACTGTGTTGTCTTATGCCTTGCAAGAGCTTAGGAAGTAATGCAAATACATTTAGGCAGTATATGTGTAGATGAGTTTGTACATATATATAATGCAAAAACTGCATATTGGGCTTGATAATTTCTGTGGGTTGAAACTGCATGTTAGATGCAACCACAGACAGAGGTTTTGTACTGTTTTAAGCTATGTGATTTGATACAACAGAACATGTCAGAAAACCAGGACCACATTGTCCAACTTCACTTCTAGAAAAATAAGAGATTAGTTTTATATTTTGAATACACTTTGACCAAGTGATTATGTAGGTGTTTTACTCTGAACACATACTTCAAAATGTTTCAGTACTTTTCTTTGTCAGGGTCTTGGTTATATTTATGCTTTTGTTTTTTACCATGAATATATCCAGTCATCATTTTCCTGATGGCAGGATCTCCCTGTGTAATGTGTGTATTTGTTTTCTTGACGTAATGAATTTGAGACACTTTCAGTAAAACAAAGAAATGTTCTGCAAATTCTCTTCATTCTTGACAGCTCTGCCCTAAGGACAGGACCATTGGGTTCCCAAGCTTAGACAATTATTTTTGTCTGAGAACAGTGACCCATAAGAAACTCCTGTTATTGCTCAGAAAATACGTTGATTTCACTAAATAGCTGAAGGATAGAGAAAGAAATGATTTGGTCTTAAGCATTATTTGGCCCAGTTTGGATTAAAAGAAATCTTGTCCCCTTCTCTTCATCTTATCTTCCTAAAAAGCAGTAAATCTGTTTCCTTATTGATTCTATCTGTAAATTATTTTTAAGAACTCCAGACTGATAGCTTAAAGTCTCAGAACATTCTGCTCAGTCATTTTAATTCACATCATGATGGAAATAAGAGATAAGGCATTTAAATACTTTAGTGATAACAGGAGGGTTGCAGAGAATCCATATCTATTTCACTGAGCTCAACAGAAAGCAGAACATTTTCCTGTAGCTTAGAAAAGATCTATACATACTGTGCTATTGTGTGTCAAAATAGACGCCTCTGTGTTACAAGCTGATTCAGGTTACTCAGCTAATTCTCTAACCAGACACTTATTGCTCCTTATCTTTTATTTCTCTGATCTAAAGCAGTCGTAAGTTGCAAGCATAGATTTATCACAGAGGTGGGAGGAGACAGCTTGAGTTCCCTGAGCCATCAGCCAGGGTAATACGTGTCCTGTATTACATCAGGCAGTTGTGACCACTCAGTTGTTCAACCTCTCCATTCAGATCAGGGCTTCAGCTACCACTGTCTTAAAAGCACTGCCCCTCAAAGAGCCTCACCCCAAATGCCTCTGGGGGTAAGATCTGAATAATAAGGATAAGATTTGAATAATAAAATGAAGACAACTTCCAGCTAGTTTCTATATGTTCTTATCCCTCCTTGGAGAAGGGATTTGGGCAATTTTAAAGTGTGTCATAAAAAAGTACCATGGTAAACACTTTTTTTCCTCCTAAATGGCTGCAAAGGGAAAGCAAGAATGGGCATCTCAGGGACTGATACCTGCTGTAGAGATACTTAGAGTCAAATGACTAGAGTTTTGTGACCACAAGAAAATTGTAATATATATTACAGTGCATACTGGCCTGAAAATCAGGGTACTCTTAGGGTGATGTGAACTGGTTGAATTTTTAATACTGAAAATTTGGCCACAAAAATGTGAGGGCCAGTTACTGTGAAGAAATGTACCTCTTCAGAAGGGATTATTGTCCCTATTCTTGTAGTCTGTGGGCAGACATACTTTTATTTAACTAGCTAGAATAATTTATCAGTTCACTGCTCCGTCAGTTTGTTACCACAAGCCCACCAGAGTTTAATGCCACATCCCTCGCTGGAATGACATGAGTATTAAACAGAAAAAGAGTCAGTAAAGAATATATGTTGAAAGCAGACTTTGCAATACCTGGGATGAATTTATCCTCTAGTGTTGTTTTTCACTTCACTAACTTCACCATATTCACGAAAAATGGGATAAGGCAACAGAAACGCGGCAAAATAGGCGGGGTTTTTTCAAGGTAAGATGCCGCCTTGTACCTTTGTTTGAAGTGAACTGGTCCATAATGCCACCTTGGCAGCCATGGGGTATTCCAAATTGTCCAGATTTACTTATTAAAGATATTCAATTTTATAGCTCTTGCCAAGATTAATAAAAGCATCAAAACTTGCATAAAATGGAAAATAGATGCAGTAGAGGGGGGGAAATAAAACCTAAAAAAAAAAAAAACAAAAAACCTAAAAGAAAAAAAAAGCCACACCCAAACCCCAAAAATTTACATCAGTGCTGAGCAAAGTAATTCAAATTCTTTAGAACAGATGTTACTTAAAATTCACAAGCATAGATGAACTTGTTGAAGAGTAAGAAAGTTTATCATTTAAAGATTGTGTTGGAATTCAGGAGCCAAGAAACTACAGGCAGAAGAGAGACTACATTAGGATTTGGTGAGACTATATGCCTGAATTCAGAGATGGCAACTCCTATGTACTCATTAAATGTTCTTTAAAAAGTTACATCCAGAGTAATTTTCTGTGGTTGTAGGCAAACAGCACAACTAGTTTGCTGGCATTTCAGATTTTCTTCATCTTGTTTTAAATTCTTTAGATTCACTGTACTATATAAAAATGCTATAGTTTGCATATAGGGAGTTGTGGTTTTCTTCAGATCTGTGGTTTTTGCATCCTGGAAGTCTTGTTTTGAGACCAAATCTGGTCATTCCAAATTGATT